GCCATGGTGAACCAACGAACATTAATTCACTTCACTGTGCCCTTGCCCTAAAAAGTGTCAATATTTTTTTTTAATTTCCATTTCATTTGAGGTCGCATACTATATTTTAAATTATTGCAATGAGTTTATTTAAGAGATGCCTTGTGTAACAGCATTCATTTTATTTTACAAATTTTTTAGTCAAAAATTTATAATAAAGCATTAAAAATGATCGCCACTATGAAATCATATATGATGTGATCGAAGACATGTTAATTTTGTCCCAGAAATAAATGAGGATCGAGGTATATTGGTCACATGATCATGTAAACAACCAAAATTCATGGTGTAACTTTCTTATTGTAATTTGTTAACATTTCTCAGTTTGTTTTTTAAAAAAAGCCAATGCCTTAAGAAGTTTCAAAGGTAATTTCTTATTATGGCAAAAAACAGAACAAAACAAAAGGAATGGTGATTTTCTTACATTATTATTTGTGAATATAAATTTTATCTTTTTTTCCAGCGCATAAATTTTATCCCTGAGAAACAATGTCATATAAAACTCGATATTTTCCCCCTAAATTATTTATCACTAATATATATTTTTACATGTTTCTATTTTATATGAATAATTATTAAATTTTTAAATATAAATTCTTCTTATAAGAAAACTTAAATTCTTTCATTATATTTATAAATGTTTAAAAAACGAGGGACTCCGATGTAATTTTCACCTTCACACGGCTTCACCTCATTTAAAACCCAACGTTCCCACTTGCTAATTCCTGCAACCCGCCTCACGGTTTCTCTCGCGGCAAGAGAAAACATATATACCACAGATTGCGCTGACTTTAAAGAAAGTGAGAAAGAAGAAGAAGAAGGAGAAGAAGAATAGAGTAGTTAGGGTCTGAGAATTTCGGAGAGGGATGGCGTCGGCGAAACCGAAGCGGGAGTTCCCGGCTATAGCAAAATGCAACGGCTCGACGGCGACGTCGTACGAGTCCATAGCCGCCGACCTCGACGGCACTCTTCTAATCTCCAGAAGTTCCGTGCCTTACTTCCTGCTCGTCGCCATCGAGGCTGGCAGCCTACTCAGAGGGCTCGTCCTCCTCCTGTCCCTTCCGCTTGTAATCGTCGCTTACCTCTTCATTTCGGAAGCCATCGGCATCCAAATCCTCATCTTCATCTCCTTCGCCGGAGTCAAAATCCGGGACATTGAACTCGCTTCACGGGCCGTTCTTCCTCGGTATACTCCGTTAATGTTCTTTTTTACTCTCCTTCCAAGCTCGTAGTAATGGTGGCTTTACTTTATGCACGCTTGTGTTTTCCTTTCCTTTTATATTTGAACATTTCTATATTTAGTGCTCTGAACTGGAAGTTTGTCTGTTGTGCAGGTTTTACGCTGCCGATGTGAGATCGGAAAGTTACGAGGTGTTTGATCGATGCAAAAGGAAGGTGGTGGTGACGGCAAATCCGACGGTGATGGTGGAGCCGTTCGTGAGGGATTTTCTCGGCGGTGACAAGGTTCTGGGAACAGAGATTGAAGTGAATCCAAAGACGAAGAAGGCTACGGGGTTCGTGAAGAAGCCTGGTGTGCTGGTGGGGAAACTGAAGAAGCTCGCGATTTTGAAGGAGTTCGGCGACGAGTCGCCTGATATTGGGATCGGAGACCGTGAATCGGACCACGATTTCATGGCTATTTGCAAGGTAACTTAATCCTCTGATACGCCTTGCACTTTTTATTTTTAGTTCTTCCTTTTTTTCTCCTTTTTGGTTGAGTCGCCTTACTTTTTTAATCGAGTACGTTGTGCTTTCGAAGTCACAGCACAGTCGCCTTATCGGATAATTTTAATTAGTATAATTTGCTTTTGATATCGGCTAATTTTGTTGACCGAAAAAAGATCTCTGCTAATTCTGATATAATATATCTGTTAATCACTAGAGAGGATAAATAATGAATCTTTAGAAAATAATTAACGGCAAATATTTGATATGATCAAATTCAGGCTTCTTTCTAAAGAAAACAACATGTGAATGTAAAAACAATCTATTAGTTGTAAGACAAACTAAATATGACGCGTTACATTTTACTCTGTTTGCGATCCATTTCTTTTTGTCTTTCTGGGTACAAGCGATCGATTTTCTGTTGAATAGTGTGATGTACAAATGGGATTGCTAGACTATCTTTCTTTGCTTTTTGTCCACCAATTATATCCATTGCGTGCCTCGGGCGCAATGGATGGCGTAGACGGTCAAGTTAGCTGATATATGTGAACGACCCGGGTCATTCCTTTGGATTTCGTACGCTTAAGTTCTATTGGTTTATCGGTTGTGAACAAGTATATAATCTTTTACCATTTTCTTTTAAAGGAGTCGTGATCGTCATCTTGAAATTTCTAGAAAATCATTAGCGTTCAGTTTAGTTGACTAGGCATGTGGTAATTATTATAAATTTCAGAGCTAGGTAAATCTGAAGATATTGAATAAAAGCTCTAATTAGAGCATCAACACACACCATCAATATTTTATGAGTATGACATCTTTCTCTGTTGGAATGAAAATGTAAAAAGATAAATTCGATGCATAGTCTTTCTCTTGCGGGTCATTGTCTCCAGCGATAATAGAATGAGGACTGCTTTGTCAAGTATATTCACACTGTGCATATGGGTAGAACGGTGAACCGTGTAAGCATCGCATTCATCAGAAATGAGCTAGCTAGGGGTGAAGTCGTAAGGATATATGTGTGTACCATTAGTTACTTTTCATTCTCTCTGTGGAAGATTTGTAGCGCCATCTGAGCCCAGCGGGACCCAGCGTCTTAACCATCCCCAACTAACTGCCAGCTTAGACATTTAGTGGTCCATTCATAAATAAAAGCGTCCTAATTAATGTAGTCATGGTTTGGTAACCTTCTCCTCCATAAGAAGGCCCTTCCTGCGGATATTGCGTGCTCAATGTTCAAGTACCCTACCTTTCCAATAAAAGTTCTAAATTAAGAGTGCAAAAGCAAGACACGCTTTGTAATTGTCTTCCTTTTTTCCCCCTTTATGGGATATATTTGATGCACCCTTGATCACGATATATTATTACCTTCCACTATTTATTTCATCTCAAGACTCATTTCGTTCAATTAGAACTTACACAATCAACCTTGACGTGTATTTTTCTTCATAATTGGCCACGTAATCTCAATTTTGTTCAGTTTATCGGCATATCTGATGATATATAAATTTTTATTTGACTGCTGCATATTTTCTGGGGTTGACAGCATGTATGTCTAAATTTGATTTGTCATAAAAAGTTTTTTTATTCCACAAGAGATAATTATCCACAGTCGTATATTTCTTTCGTTCATTCTTTTTATTGAAATTAAGTTTTGTTTTATGTTTAGAGACTTAAGTGTAGATCTAATTAATCCGTCATAACATGGCCAATTAATACAGGAGGGCTACATGGTGCACCCTAGCAAAACTGCCAAAGCAGTGCCATTGGAAAGTCTCAAAAGTCGCCTCATCTTCCACGACGGTCGCTTAGTGAAGCGCCCAACGCCACTTAACGCCATCTTAACCTACCTATGGCTCCCATTTGGCTTCATACTCTCCCTCATCCGCGTCTACTTCAACCTCCCTCTCCCGGAACGCATCGTTCGTTACACCTACGAACTCCTCGGCATCAGGCTCGTCATCCGTGGCAACCGCCCTCCTCCACCGTCCCCAGGCACTCCCGGCAACCTCTACGTCTGCAACCACCGCACCGCCCTCGACCCCATCGTCATCGCCATCGCCCTCGGACGCAAAGTTTCCTGCGTCACCTACAGCGTAAGTAAGCTCTCAAGGTTCCTCTCTCCAATCCCAGCCATCGCTCTGACCCGAGATCGCGCGGCCGACGCTGCACGCATCGCCGAGCTCCTCCAGAAAGGTGACCTGGTGGTGTGCCCGGAAGGGACCACGTGCCGCGAGCCTTTCTTGCTGCGTTTCTCTGCGTTGTTTGCAGAGATGAGCGACAGGATCGTGCCGGTGGCAGTAAATTGCAAGCAGAGCATGTTCTACGGGACCACTGTGCGTGGGGTCAAGTTCTGGGACCCCTACTTCTTCTTCATGAACCCAAGGCCCGTCTATGAGGTGACGTTCCTTGATCGGCTGCCGCAGGAGATGTCGTGTAAGGCCGGAGGGAAGTCGTCGATTGAGGTGGCTAATCACGTGCAGAAGGTGCTGGGTGATGTGCTGGGGTTTGAATGCACCGGCTTAACCAGGAAGGATAAGTACTTGCTGCTTGGAGGGAATGATGGCAAGGTGGAGTCCATGCACAACACCAAGAAGTGACATGTCGTTCGAATCTAATAAAGCTACTGTGCTTATTTCAGATTCATAAAGAATGGAGTCAATTGGTCCTGTACGTTGTTGCTGAACACTCGTGTAGGCGTTTTTACCCCCCCTTTTTTTCCCCCTCTTCTTGTTTTTAAAGAGTTTTAGCTGCCACTTACTACTCGCTATATTGATTGAAGTGTTCCGAATGTATTTCTAAACCTGGTAGGTTTTTTTTTTCAAAAAAAAAAAATCGGTGGATTATCGATTTATCATTGATTTGATGCGTTGCTTTAATTTGTCACTGGTCATGTGCTCTAATATTCCGTGACGAACGGGGCTATTTGTTTTGTAGTTTATTAGTTATATACATATGGACAAGTGATTTATAATCATACTCGTCTTAAATATAAAACCCTTATATATACTAATATAAGGGTCTTATATTTAAAATTGAAAGAGTATTAATTGACGAAATATAGCATATACCGGGAAAAAAGGGCAAGTATGCAAACCTAACAGAGTATGTTGCGGGTTACCCATATATAATATTGACCTTCTGATGGCTACTTCAACAGAATGAGAGATTCACAAACTACGACAGTGCTGTTTATCCCGAGTTGCGTCTTCCAGTTCGAGGGCGCCCCATTAAAACACAAAAAGAAAAAAAAAATTGTAGTCAATGTGTATAATGTTATAACAAGATCATGAGAAATTGAAGTTGGTCATATATATATAAGACTCATGTTATATATTCATCAATTTTTTAAAAAATTAACCCTACTAATATTCTCCAATAATAATCAAGTAGGAAAGAAGGAAAAGAATTAAGAAAAATATTTAGGCTGTTTCAGAAAAAAAATGATATTAACTAATTTAACTAACGTTCTTAATCTCTCAAAATTAGTTAATTACATCTTATATTAAGGATCAAATAAGTACCTTTTTTAAATTACATTTTAATTTAAAAAATCAATGATGTTATATTTGCTGTTATTTTTTTGTGTGGCTTTTCATTTTTTTCCTCATATAGCTAGATAAAACAAATAGGAAAAATTAGTTAATTGGTCTTTCAACTTTTGATTCAATTATAACTCAGTCCTTCAAGTTTAACTCGTCGCAACTCGGTTCCTAAAATTTATTATGTTTAATAATTGCACCCTTGTTGTTAGTTATCAACCTGAACGCTGTTAACAAAGTTAACAGAGTTAGTCCCCTCCTCTTCCTCCCGATCATTTCTATTTTCCCCTCATCTGCTCCTTCATTTTTCTAGAGAAATCATTCTCAGAACTAGGGCCTATCCTTCGAAGTCTTCAAGCCAAGCATGGCCCCATGATCGATCACTCTCCCTGGTAGTTCTCATCCTGCTATGTTTATAATTGATCGTTCTATTGCCATACAAGCCTCCATTCAAAATTGGACAAAAAGGGAAAATATGTGCAGCCAATCTGTATTAACATAAGAAAAAGTGAACGAATGGTGCGAGCTGATAGTTGGATTTGAACTTTGAATTAATTAATTGATAGACATTCTTTAATTTTATTTATTTTCTTATTGTTGCCTCTGCCTGTGGGCTGACCTCGCGGCTTGGGGATAGAGATGGTGTCGGCACCAATGTCAACCATAGTAATGAAGCTGGAGATAGAATTGGTGACACCAATTGCAAGCTCCTTTCTAGGTGACCCTCTTGGTGCTTTTGCAGGTGAAGGAGAAAGTTCAATGTCTCCAACCAGTGATGATCAATAATCTAATTTTGAAGATGGTGCGAGACTTTCTTTGGACAGAGCAATGTTACTGAAATCAAACCATATTCACAACATATAGCAGGATGAGAACCAAGGGAAAGAGAGATCAATCATGAGGCCATACTTGGCTTGAAGACTTTGAAAGATGGGTCCCAGTTCTGAGAATGATTTTCCCAAAAAAATGAAGGAGCCAATGAGGGGAAAACAGAAATGATCAGGAAGAAGAGGAGGGGACTAACTCTGTTAACCTTGTTAACAACATTCAGTTTGATAACTAACGGCAAAGGTGCAATTATTAAACATAATACTAAGTTGCAACGAGTTAAACTTGAAGGAATAGTTACAATTAAGTCAAAAGTTAGAGGACCAATTAACTAATTTTCCAAAACAAATATAATCCCCATGTTGCACAACGGATAAAAATTGAAAAAGGAAAAGAAAAGAAAAATGCAGCTAGATGGCAATGCACCCAAAACCAGTTTGTGAACTGGGGGGCAACACATGCAAGGCCCTGCTGCAAGTAGTGGGAGCGAAATGAATTGTTTGATTAGAAACTGAATTCATAATTGGGTCGAGTCTCTCATGTTGTTAATAACCATTCATACATGCTTGCCGGCTGTACGTAAGAGCTTTGATTCAGCAGCGGGCATGAAAAAAAGCGATCATAAAAAAATGCTTGCTGATACTTACATACAAGAATGAAAGCCTGTGGTGATTTGTTACTATTAACAGCCAGAGAGGGCATCAGTTTCTTCTTATGTTCCTCAGATAGAGAGAGAGAGAGAGTACCCTGCTCTGTTATTTCATCAGTAAACTAATAGACATGAAGTATATACCATTACCATGGAAGAGCCAGTGCTTGCCCCTTCGCCGCAAGTTGCCGTCCAGTGTCATTCCAATAACTAAGCTTAATTGGCTGAAGTAAGCGGAAGTCGGAAGATGCTCTGCTTGAATATTTGGTTTCAATTCATTTGAAAAAAAATTATTTTAATTTGACGATAAACTTATCGTCCCAAAACACAACCAGTTAATATTGTGTGTTTGAACTGTCAAAACCAGTTGGAACATTTTAATTAACAAGAAACCTATAATACAAACGAATAACTGCTAGCTTTAATTTCAACGAGCACTTACCCACAACCCACAAATTTCTCATACATTAATTTCTACAGCATGCAGTTTATGCCTTAATATCCGAACTGTTCACATGTGTGAATGAACTCGCATATGCTCTGAAAGGTCAAAAGGCCTCCACTCTTCCTCTTGATCATAGCACTTAATTAATACCCATCATCATTAACGTCCACACACACACTGTACTCATCCTGTAGCTAAAGACCAGGTCTTTGGAATTTATATACTCTTGATATGCTTAGGCGTCTATTTATGTTTTACTTGGCTAGCCAATTACCTAATACCAGTTTTCTGCGGGTCCCTTTTGTTCACCGATACTTGCCAAAACTCCCCTCAGATCCCTGTTCTGCACATAGACCCTGAGTCCATTCTTCATGAACAAAGTCAATGACATCTTTTGCTCCACCTCATGCCCTGGCACCACGGCCAGCCGGTGCCGGAGTAGCGCCGCCGCCGCAATTGACTTCATTTGTAGGTAAGCTAAATCCTTGCCCAAGCATATTCTCGGACCCGCATTGAAGGCAACAAACTTGAAGGAATCATGCATTCTGAACTTGTTGGCGTCTGATGAAAACCACCTGTCCGGCCGAAATTCCAAGCAATCATCACCCCATGTCGACCTCATCCTGCCGGCAGCATATATTGAATACGTCACCGACGATCCCGCCGGAACAAATGTGCCATCCGGCAGCGTGTCGTCCGCCACCACGTACTTTGAATCCTCCGGCACTGACGGATAGAGGCGTAGAGTCTCGCACAATGCTGCTTTGAGATAATCCAAACGGTCCACTTCATCAAAATCCAACGGCTCATCCACCCATCTCGCCACATCATCACCACGTGTCTTCATCAGAACGGTGCATATTTCTCGTAGGATTTTTTCTTCCACTGTAGGGTTCTGAATCACCAACCAGAAGAACCAGCTCAGTGCAACCGATGACGTGTCACGTCCAGCTAGGATGAAGTTCAGCGCCACGTGTCGGAGGAACTTGTCTGAGTAGGATTCCTTTTTCTTCATGAACCTCGACAGCAAATCATCGTGCGGGTTCTCATCCTTTTGCTGACTCATCAACTCGAGCTTGCGCTTGTCAATCACACTGGATAAATACTCCTCAATAAGGACAAGGCTTCGGCTTAGGCAGACCTCCATTCCGAAGCCAAGCCATTTCTTAAGCCTCCAGAACACCTCTGGCAAAATAAACCGCTGGAGCGAAGCTTCAGTGGCTCGGTCAAAAGCCAATGAGAAGCGGTTCTCCGGCAAGCTCGGCGCGCAAGTTTTTGGGTCTTTTCCGAAAGCCAAGCCGCAGATGTTGTCAAACGTGAGCCGCAACATCAAGTCTTGCAAATCAACCGGCTCGGATTTCAACTCAGCCTTCTTAAGAATCAAGCAGAGCCGATCCTTGATGGCTCGATTCAACCAGCGAGACATGGCTTGGCGCAATGTCCTGGTGGTGAATTCCAGCGCCGCCGTCTTACGCTGGAACAGCCAAGCGCTGCCGTCAGAGTTGAAAATACCATCACCAAGCAGATCATGAAAAACAGCATGCCAAGTGGGCCCCTTAGGATAATTGTCGAATCGGGTCTTGAGGATGTGCTCCAGGTTCTTCGGGTCGCAGGTGACAGTCACGAGACCTTGCTTATTTGCGAGGAAGGGGATCGCGCAGATGCGGGTCTGGTACGTGCCACCACACGCGCGGAGGTTGTCGCAGATCCAGTCATGCATGCGGTCGCAGTTCTCAATCAACCCCGGCAGACTACCCAATAGAGGCCATACACGTGGACCCCTTAGGGACCGCGACATGAATGTGAACCATATGAGGTAAGCCGTGATCGCCGTCAAAAGCAGCAATGCCGTGGACGTATCCATTTTTTCCCGCGGGAAACAAACAGAGATTTGAGGTAAATGAGGTCACCTTCAGGTTTCAGATTTTAGGAGGAAAACATAGCAATATGTGGCCACGCAAGCTAATTAGCTAACTTTGTTCCAGATTTTGGTAAGAACAGGTTGGATGAATGGTGAGTACAACGAGAGAGACAATGATTGATTAGGGAAGAATAAGAGGGGAGAGAGAGAATTATGGGTGAAGATGGAAGAGGTGGGTAGTGGCAATAGAATGAGAAGTGTTTGAGAGAAAATGAGAGATTTATAGGGAAGAAGTTTGGGTGGCAAGCAGTTATTATGGGCAGCAACCCCACCTCTTGGTTTCCAAGACTCATGAGGTGCAAGTGCATCATTATAATTTATTGAGAAGTGGTGACTGGTGAGTGACATACTGTATGTACTTTCCTGATTCTATTATTATATGTCATCAGAATTTAAAAAAAATTTAAATTTTATTAACTCCTTGTTAATAAGATACGTCAATTTTATAATTTTATTTCTATTTAATGTATATAATTTCAAAAATTAATAAATGAAGGATTA